CTAATCTTTAACCAATAATAAAGTACTATTAGAATGCAGCACACAGAATTACAGACAAATTACACACACATTGTGATCAAATTGTGGTGTGATAAAATTGTGGTGTGATCTTTTAAAATAATTTACAGAGTTTTATTTTTCTTTTACTCTGATTTTCTTCGGACTATCATCTCAGCAGAGTGTTGCAGATGGATTCCAGTCCAGCAGGGGTCAGGCTTTCCCAGGCAGCAAACAGTGCAGGTTAGATGTGTGATGTCTGAAAAATGTCATGAATATTTTCACTTCTTTTGTTACTCCTTTTCAACAGTTTTCTCCTTCTCTCTGTAGACTACTCATGTCTACCCTTTCTGTGGCTATTCAATTGAAGGCTGTCATGCAGGAATCTGCCACTATTAGACCATTAAACACTGGGATCTCTGCAGTTGCATTGTGTGTTTTGACACACTCCTGCCAGTCTAGAACTTGGCATGTGAGTCAGGAGTTAAAGGTCAACCTTGTCTGTATAGCAAGTTGAAGGCCAACCTGAGCTACATAAAACCCTCTTGCCTTAATTCTTAGTTTAGACACTGCTTTCAGTACCATCCACATCCATGACTTGAAATATTCCTCTTCACTGAGTTCTTATTGCTCATCTGAGTTCTTATATGTTCCTCTTTCTGTTCCAAGCAGTGAATAGAATTACTAGTAAAACAGGCAAAGTTCCTGATTTCATGAAAAGTAAAAAGTACACAATTCTCTGCAGACACAGGAGAGTGTTATAAAGGAAAAAAACACAGGTGAGTAAAGAATGGGACAGTGAGCCAGAGGGCTCACATCAGGCTGCCAGAGAGGGTCTGTTTAAAGAGGTGATGCCAAAATTAAGGCTGAAAGAATAAAAGGAGTCCTTTATTCAAAACACTTACGGAGGAATATTTTAAAAAATCCTAAGATCCTGGCAGGATTGGGGAGAACTCATTCAATTCACTAGTATCTGAGCTCAGAGGACTCCACATGGATGTCATGAGCTTGAAGAGAGATGGTTAGACTCCAGATTCCCCAGATTTTGAGAAACACTTCTCTGAGAATTCTGAGTGTGTTTTGTAATGCACAACTGACCAGTCAGAAACTATTGCCAATGCGCTATTTAAGCCAGTTTCATTTTCATTTTAAGCTCAGAGAGTGTACGAAGATAAATTTTAAGAAAGTATGACACAATCCCCTTTTCATGTCAATAGTTAGAATGTTCATTTTAGGCATCATAAAGAAAACCATTATGTGCAATGAGGAGCATTAACCTGACTTTCATGCTTAAGCGAACTGTTACCATGTGGAACGTGGGTCACAGGACTGGGGTCAGATGTGTGACTGGTGATGTAGAAGGGCAGGGTGAGGACAAGATGAGGAGAGACAGAGTGACACAGAGTGAGAAGAGACTGGCTGATAGATCAGAATAAGTTTGAATGGAGAGGAAAGTGTAGAGGATGTTCTGAGGCCTCCCTTACAGAACCAGTTTAATTCACCAAGATGGCAGCAATTGGGATCCTTGTGTGTAGCGGGTGGGGTTGGGGGAAAAGTTAAACAGGTAGCTGGACTGTTCTACACATAATTCCATCTCTAATCCCCAGCCGAGGCTTACTGGCCAAATTTAGAATAGTTAGCCCGACTGCCCCAATTCGCTCTCCCTGGCTTCATTCACACAGACGTTAGTTACATTAGACAAGGAGAGGTCACAACTGACTAAAGGTACAATTCCTCCTCATAGCTGTCACCCTGTGCCTGGGGTCTTAAGAGGGTGCAGAATGGAGGAATTTTTTGGTAACTAAGTTTTTCTATGATCATAATGTTGGGGGTACATTGGTTGTCCAGCAAATGTCTGTCCTACATATAAGTGCCCCAGTTCTAGTTTAATCATTTTGTGCCTATTTTAATGTGCTCAGTCATTTACAAACATTCCTTCTGCCAGACAGGAAACTCCAGATCTGATGTAGCTGACAGCCTCCAGAGTGCTAAAAGGGAACCAAGTCAGACAAAAATAATCCAGAAGAATCCTGGAGAAAAGAAGCTATCATAGGCACATTTTTTTTTTTTACTAAGAATTATTATAAAATTCTAAGAATGACAGAGTGATAAAGGTATGATGTCTTTTTCCCAGATCAACCAATGTTTATTTTCACTGAGAAATACGTTTTGGGAATAGCTCTCCTCACACATGAACCCTTACATTTCACATTTTCCAGTTTTCCTACATAACCTATATCACCCAGACTGGAGCACAGTGTGATTATTTATCATGTACCTGATATAGCAGAGATTTAAATAACGCTAAGCATGGGTCCCTACTTGCAATGAGTTTATGAGTTTTTTAATAAAAAAAAAAAAATCCTATTTGAGCCAGGTATGGTATTATACTCCTTTAATCCTAGCTCTCAGAGGCAGAGGCAGATGGATCTCTGTAAGTTTGAGGCCAGCCTGGTTGAGAATGAAAAGAAGGAAGGAAGGAAGGAAGGAAGGAAGGAAGGAAGGAAGGAAGGAAGGAAGGAAGGAA